GCAAGCCGATTGCACGAAGACGTCGACGAGCCGTTGTCCCGGTCGTCCCTTCTCGTGGCTGAAGAGATCGCTCGCTCAAGCGTCAAACACGAAGTGCGTACTTCGAGTTGAATACGCACGCGTACGGTTTCTTTACCAGGTGCGAATGTGGCCTGCCCGACTTCAATCGGGGAGTGTATGTAATGAAAGGAAATCGGCAGCAAACTTCTGGCATACAGTCAGTCTACCGGATCTATTTCCACGCACGGAAGAGTTGCTTCAGTAGCTCAGGGGAAAGACGTCCAATTCGCACGCAGCGGGCACGGGTTGGATCCCTAGTGCGGGTGTACCATTTTAATTTTTGGTCAAGCATTCTCCGATGTTTACGTTGCTTCACTAAAAAAAAAAATTTGTTTTGGACGATACGTCGCTGAAATAAATTGTATGTGATTCCATTTTTGACTCCTGCGAACTCAATGTAGTTACTTTCCATAAAAAGCAAGGAGCATGTGAATCGGGTAGCGTCCGCTTTCCACGGTTCGCGTAACTGTTCTACAGGAATTGCAGCCAGCCATTGATCCCGACCCGTTAATCTTTCGAAAACTTGTGCACTCTGCCGCACAATGCCACTTTCAGCTGCAGGACATGTGAGGCAGCTCTTTACGCAACATCTTGGGAGTGTTCTTTTCTGAGCCGATCGCGGGAATTCACCACGGCACTCGGGCACTCACTTCTAATTGCCAACACTTAAATGTACCAAAAAACTCGTCTTGAAGTACAGAACAGCGAGCGGAACAAACATAACTGCAAAGGAATCCCACGGCGAACGAACGCATTTCGTCTGCTACGTGCGAAATAAAAATAAAACGCACGGTTCGGATTAGCCACGTGACTTCCACACTATCCTCTCCACTTCTCCGTGTGGTGCGGAAGTTTCGGTTTCACTTTCGAGCAGTTGCGTTTTTTGACTTTATTAAAAAAATACGTGACTCTGTAGCAAAATATTAAGTGGATAGTATTCCGACACCATAATGAATCGCCTGACAAAAAAATTAAAAGAAACATTTTGGGGTGTGTCAGTGTCCCTTTAATGAAAAAGCTGCAAAGCCAGGGGTTAATAGCAAGGTATTTTACTAAACAAATAATAACTTTACAACTTCTACGCAAAGCAGTAAGTCATGAAAATTAATTTATGTATTCATAGGATTTGTTAGGCTCGTGCGAAGACTCCTGTGTTAACAGTTCTTTATGGTCATTCATGTTGTGGGGATGCACCACTTGTGGATGCTAATGTGTTCCAGCTAAGGTCCTGTGGCGCTATGGAAAACTGTCAAGACCAGACATCTCCATAAGCCGCCGACAGCTGTTCCTGCCAGTGCATTCCATGGGAGAATCTGTAAGTGACTGCTGTATTGCTGAAGGCTATCTCACTTATTCTAAAGCTCCTTTGCTTGGTTTCTGCATATTTCAACCCAGAAGTGTAAGCTACCTAAGAGCGCACGAAACAATTTGTCGACAGTCAATTGTTACGCTGTACTTCACATGATCAGTTTTATGTGTTGCATAAAGATTGTTCTATGACTGATATGTGTAGGAGCTCTGTTAAGTGCGTCATACCCCGTGCTTCAAGCCAGATCTTTTTCTGATATATCAAGGATGATGAGGTTACGTTACTGGCTACGGTTGCACAGAAGTTTTAGTAACTAAAAATTGTTGAGCAGCAAAGCACCAGTTACTTTCAGACTGTCTCGACAAAACCAAAGAATTTGTTATATTTATCGTGTTTTCAGAAATTGCGCTCGAAAGAAATGCCTCGGCATTTTGTCTGGCAGGGCACGGCAACCACAAATGTTATTTGCCTTTCAAAGAAGCTTTGGAACTTGTGAATCCTAGCTATTTTTTAGTTCTGGAGATGCAAAATCTGTTAGAGTACCTAGTATGTTTGAAAGCACGTAAAGTCTCCTAACGCATTTTGCATATCTGCTGTTTGTGAAGCAGAATACTTTCTTGGGTTCAACTGTTGCAAAATGTCTTCCGCGGCGAATAATATTTCTTGGTTACCGTGCTCGTCCCAAGAAAATATGAATGGGTATTCTTTTGATCATGATGGAATCGCCCGTTTCCTTTAAAACAGTATTTCGTTTTCTTCACGAAAGCCGATATTTCAAGGAAGCTCGTTATTTAAGTGTTACGTCGTTTTCACGAATGTTCTCGTCATTCGTTTTCACGAATGACGAGAACGAACGACGAATGACGATAACGAAAACGTGAAGCGTAGCCGGCGTGCGCCCAGAAATGGGGAGTTGCGAGCGAAATACAAGGCATCTTGGAAACATGTAAATGCACTAATACGCTCTGCTAAACGTAATCATTATACAGGAAAACTTTATAACGAGCGTTTCAACTCTAGGGAAACGTGGTCCATAATTAACGAGCTTCGCGGTGTCTCTCGAAAAAGTGCCTCTGACCTGTTGGAGAAGAGCTTTGGAACCAATTTAGTTACCACAGCTACTTCGTTTGCTCAACATTTTGCCTCTTCCATTTGTAATAGCACAGAGGATGGTGCGCCCAATGCTTATGATATAAATATAGTCTCGTCATCTGCGTTTCTTCCTGCAATTTCAAGGGCCGAGTTACGTTCCATTCTATTTTCCTTCAAAAGAAATAAATCACCCGGAATCGATGGTATATCTACCATAGACCTCTGTGATAATTTTTATGTGCTTGCAGAAGTACTAGTAGCTATGATAAATGGGTTTATATGTTCTGGCTGTTTGCCTGCAGATCTAAAAACAGCAATCGTAGTACCTATCCACAAAGGTGGCCCTCGTAACTTGCTGTCATCGTACCGGCCCATTTCGATACTGCCATCATATCACAAATTTTAGAAAAATACGTATTGGTTTCCATGAATGGTTTTCTTGATAAGCATTGTATCATCTCATCTTCACAGCATGGCTTTGTCACGGGGCGTGGCACGTCATGCTTACTAGACGTGTTCTCCGACTTCCTTCATTCGTCTTTTGATAACAACTCTTGTGTATGCGCTCTTTTCCTCGGTGTTAAAAAAGCATTTGATTCTGTTAATCGTGCAATTTTACTTAAAAATTGTACCGTGTAGGATTCAGAGGTCCTTTCTTCGCTCTGCTGCAAAATTACTTACGGTCACGTTCACAGTTGGTGTCCTTAGGAAATGTTCGAAGTAGCAAAGTTCCTCTCCTCTCTGGAGTGCCGCAGGGTTCCATACTATCTCCTTTATTATTCAATATCTATGTAAACAATCTTCATGCTGTTGTCACTAGTAACATGCTACAATATGCGGATGACACTCTTTTATTTACCAGTCACACCGATATTGAACCCGCCATGCGTATGCTACAAACGGATGCTGTCGCAGTTATGGATTGGTTCAAAGGAAACAGAATAACTGTGAATTCTTTAAAAACTAAGCTCGTCTGTTTTCGCAGCCCTTGGAAAAAGCTCACTGTCTTCCCGAACTTATTTTTGCATGGCTCTAACTGTGTTCCTTGTTGCTGCACTCCTGTGCAGTATGTTAATTCTGTGAAGTATCTTGGTATCTTTTTTGATTTCGATTTATCATGGAATACGCATATGGCGTTTGTTGCGAACCGTCTCCGAAGTGTTTCATGCCAGCTTTACAATTTAAAAAAAGTTCCTTCCGTTTGCAGTGAGAAAGTTGATAATGCATTCTTTGGCATATAGTGTACTGAGATATGGCATTATTCTCTTTTTTAATTGTTCCCTGCAATGGCACGATAGAATCGATGGTATCTTGAAGGGCATGTTGAAAAGTGTGTCCTACAATTTATCGCTATGTTCAAGTGACAATATCTTCGCCTTGCTTCAGTTACCTTGTTTTTATTCTCTCTTTTTGCAAACTGTCGTGCAGCACTACTTTTGGAACAGGGACTTTATCATTCAAAGAGTTGCACCACGTACAACAAGGTGTAATACTCGCTTTGAAGTCCCACGTGTATATAGTCGTTATGGGGAAAGCATTAGGGCATTTTATGTTCCGAAAATATTCAACGTATTACCTGACTCTATATTTACTTCCAAATCGAATTATCACCTTAAAAAGAATATCAAGAGACTGTTTAATGGAAGAAATAAGCATTCTAAATTTTGAGTACCAGTCGCTAATTTGTGTTGTATTTTTGTTGTGAAGAATGTGCTTCTACTGCCAGGTCGCGCCACACAAGCCCTAACCGGCTTCGGCAGACCTGACATTTTGTACTGTTGATTTTGATCAATGAAGACTATTATTATTATTATTTAAAAAAAACGTAAAGCGTTAAATTGATACCTTTTTTTACGTATTTTCAGAAAACTATGGAACGTTATTTGAAGGGAAATTTCTTGTTAATAAAGCTGCCAACTAATTCATCGTTTTTTTTTTTTTTTACAAAATATTTTTACAGCGTGTCTCCTCCGTAAATACCCATATATGGCAGCCTTTGCGTGTTTCATTTTTTTAGAGCTTTTAAAAAGTTTAAAAATCTTGTGAGAGATTTGAAAAATACATATCCCGTTACTACCCGCAAGCGAACTGCAATTATAAAGCTTTCATGGACATGGACCCTTTTTTTTTTAATGTTGCGCCGTTTTTTAATTCTTTAAACCACGAAACAATTAGACACAAAAAAATTATTATTATGCAAACAACGTAGCCGCATGTTTTACAGCACTCTCTACAACGTTTATATTGGAGAGTTTGCGCACATATTATTTTTGAAAAAGGCACCTAATTGGTTTGTGTTAATAAGCGAATTCGGCACATCGCAAAAAAAGAGCTTCACTTGCTCAATAGGACTGTGAACAATATCGCGTTAATTCGACACGTACCAGCTATTTGTTTTTAAGTCTTGGCACAGGTTAGCTGAAACACTGTCGAGAACTTTAGAAAAAATAATGGCTGCTACCAACCTTTTTTTATTTTATGACATAGGTGAGGATATGAAAAGACGACAAAAAGGCATTTTGCCAGAATCATAGCATACCTGGCTGGCTATCACATGAGGGCGCCATAAAACCCGGTTTTTGAAAAAAGGATGAATCGGGATACCGTCTTCAAGGCCAATGCTGATCAGGCCATACATCATCCGAGTCACGCCGAGGCCGTCCGCTGCCTGTGTAGAAGACACAACCGAAAACAGTTAGACCTTTCAAGTAAGGCAAGCAAATGTGGTGTAGCGAACATATTTTTGGTGGTATTTAAAAATTGTCATTGACGAGAATTGTTAGCTTCCTCTTCAAACGTGTCTCTAGCATGCGCCCCTTTTTTTCGGAGCGGCAGAAAGCCAGTGTATCAACCAAACGCAACCTGCCCGAGTACACCACGAATGTCAGCATGTACAGTGCATATTCCGAACCGCCCGTCTTGGGAAGTGATTTGACACGTTTTAAAATTATCACAATTATCATTATCACTAAAACTACCATGTAAAAAAAGAAATCGTGCACCTTCGGGAAGAGGATACGCCGGAACGAAAACATTAGAGGCGTTTTACAGAATTACGCTGAAAGTTCATATAAAGTACTGACAAGAATTGTTTTGCCAACGCGTGAGCTATCTGAAACATGCGAGTGCTTTACAGAGAAGATTAGAGTCGCACATAGCGCTGTGGCTCCTTCGAGAATGGCTCAATTGAAGAAACGCGCCGAAGGAGTGAGGAATACAAACGAAATAAACAATTGGAGCTCTTGCGAGCTCATGGACAAAAAAGGAAGCACTTGAACTATCTCAATCCGCCGAGACAAAGTGAACAGGACTAATCATGACCTCCTCTATACCCACAAATCCTGACAGTTCAACGACGGAGCCATAAAGTCGCTAGTCGCAGATTTGGAGCGCTAGTATCTGATAGCACAGAGCATAAATGAGCTGTAAGCAGCGAGAGAGTGCAGGCGAGCTGGTAATCAATCGACATCTTGTAAACCCTGAGATGGGGAACGATAAAAAAAACAGACAAACACAACAAAATCTCAAACGCAGCTCCTCCGCAGCTGCGTCTGAGATTTTGTTATGTTCGTCCGTTTTTTTTATCGTTCCCCATCTCAGGGTTTACAAGATGACGGTAAAGGAGCCATTTTGGCAGAACCTGAACGTCAGCGCACAGCTTTAGCAGCGGCGAGGACCCGAAACACACTTCCGCGTCATTGTGTTTCGCCGCTGCGTCTCGCGGCAGCGGCCAGACGTTGCGTTTCGGGGCCTCGCCGCAGCGGGGCGCCAGTCACGTGGCTCTCCTTTCATCCGTTGTCTGCTGCTCCACCTTTTTCATTTCGGCAGCCGATTCTAGTGGCGATCTGCCAGGCTTTGTCAGTATATAAGAGACTATGGTATAATCTATGCTCTGTTCACTTTTAAGCTTAGACAGTAGCTCTGCAGCTGAAGCTACAAGCGTGAGCTAGCCCACTCTCCTGGATTTATACATGCGTTTCCAGTGCGAGTGCGAGTGCTGCGCAAAAAAGCCTTAACGCAGTGACCTCGAGCTTTCGGACATCTGGCATTGGCTCCAGTCTCAGCTTAAGGGTGAACGGAGTATAGGTCTTTTTACATAACGTCAACCCGCCATTTTTTATTAGATGTCAACGTGATGAAAGTTACACGCTTTTATGAGCTAACAATTGGAGGGTGTGTTGCAAATATTCGGAGTGCTCGAATATGCACGCGCCAGACTGCTCATGAGAACAAAATGGTGGACGAAATTACGCCAGTGAAGACACCCTATCACACTTGCTTTCTTTCTCTGGTTATCTGTCGCTCTCTTAGGCACTAATCCACTGTGACAACCCACCCCCACACTCCCCTGTGTCTTTCCATTATCTCGTTGCCACTCACCATTCCTCGATGTTGTTCTCTATGCGCAATAGACCAATCTCAGAAGCAAGTCTCGTTACGCAACCAGTGCCTTCTTGCATCGTGAGAACTGTAGTTTTTCTGTACGCGCGACAACCTTGCTGCGGGTCCGCACGAGCGGAGCACGAGAGGGCAAGGGCCTCTGTTCACTGTCGTTGTTCACTCTTCATTGTCGTCTGCTTCCTGTGAACTTCAATTAGGCGGCGTCACGGATGCGTGGAACGCTTAGTGAGATTGGTCTATTCATGGTGTAATACGTAAAAAAAGAAATACAAACGAAAACAAAGAGAGAACTGGACAAGACGCAACGTGACTTTCAACTGAATGTATTTTTATGAAATACTTTTAAAAATATATAAACGGCACACTTGGCAAAACACAAATATATGGTCTCAGCACACCCCCCGCCTCCTGATATACCAGCAGCACTGGTATTTCGGATCTTAGAATTCTTTATGGGACAAGGTCAAAGAGGCTGCGCTAACAGAAGAGTTGTCGTGGAGGGATTCATTCAGGAAGGCTTCTTGGAGTGCTCTTCCTGATTATGTACCACTACAACCACCCTTGTGTAAGCGCACCCCCTTTTTCCTAGTCCTATTATAAATCCTAATATCAGAAAAACCAATGACGCTGGTATTTCAGGGGAGGGGGGGGGGGGGCGGGGGATGATCTATGCGGAGGGCAGGTTCGTCTGCTTTTTGCGCATGTGGCTGTGGTGGCGTCAAAAAGCCGATCTATGATTGGTTCGATTGCAAGGATAGGACTATGAAGGTGTGGAGTCCTGCCCGGGCACTGTTTGTATATTAATAGACCTCCAGGTAGGCTAGCATTGAGGTGTATTCACTTGTCACAGAAACCGGCTGTTCCAGAAACCGACGGGGGTCGTGCTGACGCTTGCAGAAGAATAATGGCCAGGGAAGTAAACCACCGCCTTCGGCGGATGAGTTCGCGGCCAGGCGCGTGTCAGGTTACGCAGGGAGCGCTTCTTTGAAGCGACCGCACGTTCGGTTTTTTCTTGGTATACACAACCTAGAGTGGTTTTGTGGGGTACACACGTCTCTGCGGCCCCAAATTTACGAGGCGAGCTGGCGACTCGCTGTTGGAATGTGTTTTTTGTCAGCGCTCGAATTGCCTGGCGGGTCTTAGTGTTTATAAGAACCCTCCTTTAGGGTCAGGGGGCAGACCGAGGGGGCAACAACCTACCGTGGGAACAAAGAGAGTGCGGGAACCGCGGGGTCGCCAGGACTGACAGTGCGAGAGAGAATACTAAGGCGGACGGACTCATCGCGACGTCGAGGGATGCGGCGAGACCCTGTCGACGGGCCCACGCCAGGCACCGGACGGAGCTTCCAGTGAGTGTGCGACCGCAAAAAGTGGGCGTGCGGGGCGAGTGAGCCGCGCCCACGGTGTGCCAAGCCACCCGCCGGAATTTCTCCATCTCGGACGGACCGCGCAGTGAGACGCCAGCACCTCTACGCCAGATGAGACTTTTTCTTTGCACTCACCTATCCTCCTATTTTAGTTTACCATTTGGACTCTCTTAAACTTAGTCTTTTTCTGGTACTGTTTAGGCAACCCCGAGCATGACTGTAAACCGTTATACGTGCGTACCTGTGCTATCCGCCGTTTGGTGTCTACGTGATTTTTGATAATTATATAGCGCCTAAGTAGCTACTATACCTCTGTCAAATTAAAATTCATTTATATATCCTACACACGCCACTGTCTCTCCTCATCGGTAAGACTCTCCACCAGAGCGTGGCCCTATCGCTCGGTCAGCGGTCCCCTTCTTTCACATCGTCACTCGGGAGGCCTACCGCCTTCCTGTGACGCCACTATCCTTTCAATCAGAGCCAATCAGAACGTGCCGTTCTGACGTCCACACAACCGGTGCACAAAAAGCTGACAAAGTTCCTCTCCGCATTCACCCCTTTCAAAATACGGCCATCTGTTGGCAGCAGTGGAATCCCTGCACAATGTCGGACGTTGCATGCGCGTGTAAGCAACGTCCGTCAGCAGTTCTGCAGCCGAGTTGATCTATTTGCATTTACCAACCCTCGCTTAGAGGAGAAATCAGCAAAAATTTGATTAAATTCCCGCCTCAATCACATGGCCTCTCCGTTTGTACGACATTGATTTTAGGGTTAAAGACGGAACAAAAAAACATTTAAATGAGTGCCTGCGAAAGAATTGGAGGTCAGCGTATTTTGTTTAGTTATGGTCTACAGCGCAAACGAACAATTCACACTAAAACACGAACAAATAAATCAATCACGGAACGCTGACTATCAACTCAGTGTTGCATTCTGACTTCTACGAAGATTGAACATCTACTTCACACCGGTATTTTCTCTTTGTTGCTAGGTAAAACGATTATTTCCTGGATAAGATTATAAAAAGATGGGTAACATATGTTTTCGGCTAGCTTCACAATGTTCTCAGGCTCAATTATTTCTCGCGTGAGCTGTTTAAGTTCCTGTTCATAACAGTGCAGTTTTTGTTTTCAGTCTGCTGTGTATCCGTAGTCCCGACAATAGACGTTTAGATTCCAAACATTTGCTTTATGGATGCTTTCTCTTTTTTTTTTTTTTTGAAGGTTTAAGCGGTCAGCTACACATCTTCCTGTTGTTTTGTTTTGTTTTGTTTTCTATCTACATGTTACCACTTGAGAGGTGAATCGAATAAAGCATCCTTCTGTGCACTTAATAACAGGTGTAATATACGATTTGGGGCAGCCTGCGCTGTGAATTGGGTTAAACTCAAAAATGTATTTGGAATTACAAATACTGAGATACATTAAAATAGTAGCCAAAATACTGATACTAAAAATATATCTGTAAAATGTATCGCGATACGTATCGGAAATACTTTTTAATAGGAGGCAAAACGTTTTTGGAAATAGAAATAGAAGAATACATTTAAGGAAGAGCAGAAATACAAATACAGAATTACTGATAGCGCATTGCATTCTTCACATTTGTTTGAGAGGCCAACAGAGATGAAGTTTGCAGTGGAAGTTTTTGATTCCGAAATCACTTTCCCGTACGCTTGGCACTTTGCCTTGAAGGTTGTGGTTTCGGACGACAAATAATCCTCAAATGGCTAAAACAAAAACACGTTCCATCAAGGACTGACCGCTGTCTCTTCACTGACATCCTGTCTGTCTGACGAGGGATGCGAAAAGACTTTGACCTCTGAATAAATTCTACGTCACCCTAACTCTCATCAAAACCTCACCACGCCCCTGTCAAAATTGATCACATGACGTCA